ACCCTGTTAGTGGTCCTGTTGGCCTGGGGACCACCAAGACCCTCTTCTCTCCTGCTACCTCCAAGCAACTTCATTGGAAGGGCACAGCTATGGCTTTTGCCAGCTTCTGCTCTGTGCACTCAGCAGCTCCAGCCTTGAAGTGGCCAGGGCTTGAAATAGTAGGAGTGGTTCGTTCTTTCTCTCATTGTGTCTTCTCTTGCCTTCATGCAGTCCATAGGCCTCCTCTTCTTCCTTTGAGCTCTAGTGGCCCCAGCTTGGCTGTTGTTGCATTTTAAGAGTTGTAAAATAGGGGCCGGCCCATGGCTCACTTGGGAGAGTGTGGTGCTGATAACAGCAAGGCCACGGGTTTGGATCCCTATATAGGGGTGGCTGGTTAGCTCACTTGAGAGAGTGTGGTGCTGACAACACCAAGTCAGGGGTTAAGATCCACTTACTGGTCATTAAAAAAAAAAATTATAAATTGGTTTCTTTGTGGGAGAGAGTTGATGCTGGGGACCATCTGTTCCTCCATCTTGACCAGAGTTACTCACTTTAAATGATTATAGAGTTTATAAAGAATTGGGGGTTCAGCATTAGAATAAGTTGATTTACATTTTTTCTTGAAATTTAACTGGTCAAAATGGCAGCCATGGTTGTGAATTGGTGCTGTTTACTTCAGTTTCTTTTTCTTACTTTTTTTGACTGCCTGAAAAATAAAGGTCTCCATTGTAAACAAGAGACCAAAAATTAAGCTCAGCTTTCTTTTCCTTTCTTTTCTTGTTCTTTTTTTAAATTGTGATAAAAAACACATCATACAATTTACTATCTTAATCATTTAAAAAAAAAATAAAAACAGTGTACACTTTTTAATCTGAAGTTGCTCTGGCATCAGGACTCAATGGCCTCCTGTTCCCCACGTTTCAGATGCCACTGCACTACTAATTCCCCACTGTTCTTGAGGCACATGTTAGACATGTCCTCCTCTGTTGGAAGTCCTTGTGGCAACTTCAAGGGCTTGATTCTTATCAAATGTTTAACCACTTTCAGTGTTGTGTTCATTGAAGGGATATTCTTGTGAGCTTGAGGGGTATGTGCTTTTTCTAATCCAAGCATCTTTATTGTATCTTTTCTCCAATATGGATGTCTTTTTGTATTTTTTATTCTGGTAACAATATGCAGTTTATGAGGGTGCTGTATGTCCCTACCATATTTTTCATGATCTGCAGGTGAAGCCGGAAACACTTTATCTGGAATTCTTGATGTGGTAAATTTGTGACGAATCCAATCAGTACAAATGGGCGACTCCACACTTTTTGTCACAGTCTGTAGTCTGCCTGGGGTCCTCTGAACTACTGAATGCAAAACCCCTGCCATAAGTGTAGTGATTGTTCTCTTTAGAAGAGATGTATCCCAACCGTCTACTTAAAGCAGCATCTTCCCTGTAGTAGGCACTCAATATATTTTTGCTGAATGAATAAAGTTTAATTTACACACTTCACAGGGTTCAGCTCCCCATACCAGTACCTGCTAGATGTTCAGCCTGAACTTATCTTAACCATTTTTAAATGTACAGTTTTGTAGTTTTAAGCCATATCTACATTGTTGTGAAACAGATCTTCACAACTTTTTCATCTTGCAGAGTTGAAACTCTGTACCCATTAAACAACAACTCTCTTTTGCTCCCTCCCCCTAGCCTCTGGAACCCACAATTCTGCTTTCTATATCTGTGAATTTGACTACTTTAGATACCTCATGTAGTGGAATCATACAGTATTTGTCTTTTTGTTTGATTGTTTTTTGGTAGCTAGCCAGTAAGGGGATGTGAATCCTTGACCCTGGTGTTATAACACCATGCTCTAAGCACCCGAGCTAACTGGCCAGTCCAGTACTTGTTTTTTGGGGACTGGCTATTTTACTTAGCATAATGTCTTCAAGATTCATCTATGTTATAGCATGTGACAGGATTTCCTTCCTTTTTCAAGGTTCGGTGGTATTCCTTTGTATATACCACATTTTGTTTATTCATCCATTGATGGACATTTGGGTTGTTTCTACCTCTTGTCTGTTGTGAGTAGTGCTGCTATGAACGTGGGAATGCAAATATCTCTTTGAAACTTCTGCTTTCAATTATTTTGGATATGCACCCAGAGGTGGGGTTGCTGGATCATATGATAGTTGTTTTCCATAACCGTTGCACCATTTTACGATCCCATCAACAGTGCACAATGGTTCCAACTCCTCCATCCCTGTCCACACTGTTGGATATTGTTATATGATAGTTTGATTATATTTTTAGTAAAAACTTCATAAGAACATTTTTTAAAAGTTTTCTAACTTCAGTGTTCTTGTTACAATGTCTTTTTTTTTTTTTCCTTTTTGTCTTTTTTCATGACTGGCAATGGATCGCAACCCTCAGTGTCACGCCCATACTGGACCGGGACCGGCAACGGGATCGCAACCCTCGGTGCTGCGCCCGCACCTCGCTCAGCCAGTGAGCGGCCGGTCTGTATGTGGGATCCGAACCCTCGGCGGGAGTGCCGCTGCGCTCCCAAGCGGCGCACTGTAGCAGTGCGCCACTGGGCCGGCCCTTGTTACAATGTCTTTATCATAGTGATTTTTTTTTTTTTAGCTAAAACCTTCAGCTCATGTCTTTATTTAAGAGCATGGAAAGGAATTATAGTCACCCTGGGGACAAAACAACCCAGTGGGCAAAAGTGGGCTGTGGCAGTGGGGAGAAAGGTGAGCAGAATCTCTAGAATTTGTCATAAAGAAAAAATTAAGAGGAAAACAATAGTTGTGTGCATTTTAGTTTTTTTAGTGGCATGTTAAGGGAGCAGAAGGGGAAAATGAATAATGAACCATGGTGTATATGAGGGAAGTGAGAAATGTCTTGACTAGAGTGAGTGGAAGATTCTTCAGAATACCATGTAGAACAACATGAGGGAGAGGGCTCTGATCGCTAGCCAGAGGACTTAGGCATTTTGCAAACATGGACTCATGAAAGAATTTTTGGGTCATAAGTCTGTTATCTGGGTATAGGATGGCTTCAAAGAAGAAGGAGAAACTGGAGGCCATAGTAATACAAGGTACCAGCAAGTATCCTGCTGTTGGTAGTGGAGAAGAACGAAAGACTAGTGTTGATTGGGAGACTTGCGTGGACAGAGGAAGAAAGGATGCTGTGTGTGCATGTGTGTGTACACTTCTAGTTGTATATTTTCTTCTTTCTTTCTTTTTTTATTGATTGTTTTGTGCCATGCACTGATTATTCTTTTTTTTTAAATTTTATTTTGTTGATATACAATGTGGTTGATTATTGTGGCCCATTACCAAAACCTCCCTCCCTCCTCCCTCTCCCCCCTCCCATTTTTTTTTTTTTTTTTTTTAAATAAA